CTTTCCCTCGCGCTTCTTTCCCACTGGCATTTTATCGCATCTATGCCACATTCTCATGTGTTGCAATGCCTCTGGCTTTTACTGGTGAGGTCCTCATCCTTCAAGCTTTAGCTAAAACGTGTCCTCAGGGTGCCTTTCCTTGTGACCTTCCTTTCTAAAGTAGATCCTTTTTACACCAAATCCATTTTTTTTTCTTCTCTCACACACCACATCCAAATGGGTAACACAACCTTTTAGCTCTATTTTCAAAACATATCCAGAATCCTACCCCTTCTCTCCATCTCCATCTCTGCCACCCTAGCCAAGCCGCCACCATCTCTGACCCAGATGATTGCAGTACCCACTTTTCAGTTGCTTCCCCACCTTTGTCCCTTACACACACTTTGCTCCAGCCTCATTGACCTCCTTATTAACTCTAGTGATGCTTCCTGCCAGGGTCTTCATACTTGTTTTGCCTCTGCCTGGAATGTTGGCCACCTACATAGATCTACAGGGGTCATTTATTCTGTTCCTTCATATCTTAATTCTGTCACCCTTGTCACATTATTAAATTTCAGCCTCCCATATTCATACTCTTCCTATTCCCCTTCCTTGCTTTATTTTTTCTCTTTATTAGCACTTCCTGCTATCATATATTTTATTGTGCTGTTTCTCCCAATAGAATATAAGCTCGTGAGGGCAGGGCATTTTTTAGCTAAGTTCATCTTTATTTATTTTTAATTAAATCTTTATTGTTCAAGTTATTACATTAGTTACTCTTTTTTCCCACCATAACTACCCTCCACCCAGTTCCCACTCTCACTCCCCACCCACTGTCCTCATCCATAGGTGCACGATTATTGTCTAACCTCTTCCCTCACCCCCACACCCCTTTTCCCCGCCAAGAATAGTCAGTCCATTCCCTTTCTATGTCCCTGATTCCAGTATATTCACCAGTTCATTCTGTTCATCAGATTATTTATTCACTTGATTTTTAGATTCACTTGTTGATAGATATGTAT